TTAGATATGAAGATAGATTTTCGGATAATCCTAATAATTTTACACCAAAATTACATGTTATGATAAAATTTGGAGGTGCGCCTTAATTGGATTGTTTAAGGTTACAACCTCTTATAGAAACCTCACCATATATATATGGGTGCGGTTTGTATAGAGCCGAGGCTCTAAACCATCAAAGTAAAGCACACCTTCAAATAGTGTCAATAAATGTGGTTTCAATACTAGATGTCTTTGTGATAGCCTTAAAATATATTTTCATCTTTAATTATAAAATTTAAAGCTTAAAAAATAGTATGGATTGAGCAGATCTATGAAAACTTGAAAATTGACAGTGCAAAATGCGTTACAAGATGCAGTATTTCCAAAACTTGAAATCCATTTTTTTTCTCATGTCAATGCATCTTGATGTCGAGATGATCAATTTGAGGATATTTGGGCATCAAAACAACCTCTTCTAGTGAAATTTTTGAGGTGAGCTCTAATTTGTTTGTTTAGAGCCTCCGCTCTATATAAACTTTTTCCTATATATATATATATATAATGGGCATAAACAGTAAAATTTCAGGCCTAAAAGAAGTGTTCCTAACACAATAACACCAAAGATAATCTTGCTTCATGTCCTAGATTCCCCAATGCATTGACAAAAAGGGGGAATAGCCCGTTTCAAAAATCAGTTTTCCCTTTACAATTATTTTAAGAAAAAAAATCACTGAATCACAAATATCAGTTTAAAACTGCTGCAAAATTCAAGATTTTCATTCCTTCTGTAATAAAAAATAAATAATTACAATGGTTAAAGATTCTCACCTGAACACATAAAGAAATAATGTCAGCAAACCGTGACAAAGATTTTGCTGGATAGTTTCCACTTAGAGCAGGATCCACCATTTTCGACAAGGCTTCAATGTCATGAAGCTGAGGAGCTGCCCATCTAACCAATGAATGCTCCCCTCTAGGGCGTTCCCTGCGTTCAAAAAAAGATCAGAAAGAAAATTCAATACCACAAATGCCAGTAACAAGTATGCAACCAATGTGATGCAAACACAAAAAAGGTCACTTATATCATCATTTTCACCAATTGTATTTTAATGACCAGATGGCACCAACTAGGAGAATCTATAAACTGTCAAAGCTATTATTATTTTGCCATGTAAAAAAAGGTTACTTTGGTTAGATCTTGCAGGAGAAATTTTCCCAATTAATATAGGAGAAACTAAAAAAGGATATCCCAATAATTTGTTTCTAATTGGATGTTTACGAGACATATGAATGTCTACCTCAAGTAGATCGGCACTAAAAGAAAGCAGTAATGTGTTAATTTTCCTCACAAGGCCATACATCATAATCCAAGGCACAAAGATATCCAAGAAGAACATTTACCGGTCAAAGGGTTTACGCCCAGTAAGAAGTTCTAACATCACAACTCCAAAACAATAAACATCACTTTGAAGAGTGTAAGCCCCTGACATGGACACCTCTGGGGGGCTGTAACCAAATGACCCAAGCGCAAGGGAGGGAATCTGCAAATTAAAAGAAGTGAGCCAAGCTGCTTGGGTGCTGTTAGATGGCAAAGAGAGAAATTTTATTTCATATTCACTTTTCATCTTTTCCAGTTTTAAACAATATTTAGGGGGCTCATTTACCGGGCTCATAAGGTCAGAAGATATCAGTGCAGACAAACCACAATCAGAGAGGCGAGCAGACATCTCTTCATCAAAGAGAATATTAGCTGACTTGAAGTTCTGATGTGCTACTGGAGGCTCACAGGCTTCATGGAGGTATCTTCACAAAAAAAGAAAAAGAACAAAGGTAAGCAGAGATTATTTTACAAATCCAAAATGGTAGTACCATGCTCTCTCTCTCTCTTGCTCTCTCTCTCTCTCTACTCTCTCTCTCTCTCACACACACAAACACACACACGCACATACAGAGGCACAATGTATCAAAAGATGTCTGCCTAGGGCCCCTCCAGGTGCCGGCCAGCCTGGTGAGCACCTAGGCACCCAAGGCGGTGACTATATGGATAGCTGGTACCTCATGCCCATGTGCCCGCCTCAGCTTGCCGAGGCTCTAGGGCAGAATAAGCCCTTCGGCCATGGGCATTTTCATCATCCCCCCTTATTAAGCTGGGGAAGACATTGGGGCTGGCTCCATAAATGTGAAAATTTTAAATTAGAATGGAAAAATTTTGAGAAATTAAATTAAATCCAAGGTTTTGGATTTGATTCTTTATGAAAAATCAAGAGATGTCACAAGAGAAGACTTTGGATCCTTTACTCTAAATTGTTAATGTGCGGTTTTGTAATTGAGTAATTTGAGTTTAATCTCTTAGACTTGGAGCCAACAGCAATATGGTATTGGGAATGCTGTTATTTTTGTGGATGTGGAACATTAGAAATGTGTTCAACATTTACCTAACTACTTTTAGACTTTGAATATTTTTAATCATTCAAATTTTTAAAGTTCAATCAATTATCCATTAGTAAAATATTTAATTAACTAGCAGCATTATATGAACATTATATGCATCTATATAACATATGCATAAGGAGCCACCAACAACTTCTTCATACATTGTGCATGCACACAATATTAACGTTATGGAGCTGTTAGCACAAAACTATCAACCACAGGTAAACTGGTGTGAATGAAAAAGAAGGAAAAGTACAATAGTACTTACGCCAGGGCTCTTGAAACTCCAAGGGCAACCTTTAGACGGACATTCCAAGACAACTTTCTGCCAACTTCATCCCCCAAGTGGAGGGCCTCATGTAGGGTTCGATTACCATAGTACTCGTAGACCAACAACTGCTGGCCATGTTCTGAACAATAACCAACAAGCTCAGCAATATTAACATGTCGTAGTTTTGAGATGCTTGATACCAGCTCTAGAAACGTTTCATCAGACTGCATCAAGGGAGACGGAATGTCTAGCTTTTTCACGGCCAAAAGCTGAAAGCAAATAAAAAAGAGGGAGAATCAATTATGTAACCATTACTAACATTCTAAACCTTTCTTGTTCATTTCATCATATGAGGCCTTGTTTGGATAGGCCAATAACTCCATTACAGGGCTTATTTGCAAATGAGCATATTAGATTTTTGTTGTTGGTTGCAGGCATTTTGGCAGTATTTTCATAATAAGAAGGATTACAGAAAGGTGTCACACATGAACAGCAGAGTGGACCCTGCTTTCACAACTAAATGGGTGGAGGATTTTTTTTGTTGTCAGTTTTTGGCTTTCTATATGGGTTGTATAGCATTTTTTGGGCCCTTGTTGCCGAATGTTTTGTAGTTATTCTTTACACAATTCATCAGTTAACACTTCCAAAAAAAAAAAACACATGGGTGGAGGAAAAATGGCCCTCTTCCTCATTAAAACGTCCATCCAAACAACAGAAACCTTCCACATTAGACATCAACAGAAGACTAGGATATGAGATGAGACTTACCTTTCCATCAAAAAGCTTTGCCCTGTAAACTCTACCTAAAGAACCTTCTCCAATCAAGTTTTCTTGTGCAAAACTGTTTGTAAACTGCTGAAGAGATGCAATAGTATAAGGTACTGCAGATATTGAATTGTTTGGATTCTTCTGGATTGGCCTCCATGTTAATTTCTTTACAGGCATTTTTGTCGCATTCTCTCCAGGAGGCTGCTTCAAATTTGCATCAGTCGCAACCATATTAACATGGTGCTCATCTCCTTGCTTCTGAACTCTTCCCTCGTGATCTGTTCACAGTTTTGCATCCAATTACATGAAAATATTGAATGCAACTATAATCTACGAATAAGAATTTCATAAAGGATGAGATTCGAATAAGGTGCCCACCTTAAACAATCAAAGTAAGGCACACCTTCAAACCTTGTTGGGAGATGCAGTTTTTGTGTCGAAAACTTTTATGATGGTCTCAAAATTGATTTCCACCCCCAATTATGAAATTTAAAGTTCCAAAAATGGTGTAGATCTAGCAGATCTATAAACACTTAAAATTTAAAAAAAATGGACAATTCAGATAATGTTTTACAAGATACATTATTTTTAAGGCATGAAACCCTTTTTCTTTCCATATATCTCGTAGTCGAGATGATCAATTGGCGAGTTTTATAATGGATTTTTGAGGTGCTGCTCACTTCTACAGCATACGGTGGACAACTTGTATAAACATTTTCCTTTCATGAAAGGTTCACTAGGTTTATTTGTAAACTAACCAACTTCATGTACCTTTCTTAGAAGGATTAGAAGGCCGGACCAATGAGTCAGCAAGTAGTTGTTTCTTTGGGGATTCTTTGCCCATTTCTTGTGTCTTACTAGGTCTGTTCCTTGATTTTCTCTTTCGACATGCGATGAAAATTAAAGAGCATACCACAAATGCGATAATAACAGCTCCAGCAGCTGATAAGCCAACAATATTTTTCGTTGCCAAGAATTTTCTACTTCCAGCATCCAAGTCAGAACCAGATTGAGTAGATGAGGGTCCCTGTGCATGCATCCTTGGAGGTACTTCAGAGACTGGTGAATTGGAAATAGGAGGAGGTGATATGACATGTGGCGGTGGTGATGGGGCTGGAGTAGTATTGAATGGATTCCCATCCTTACTACAAAATAAAGGAAACAAGAAAAGAAAAGAGTGAAACAAGCACATTGAGTATATACTCTCCAAGTATTCAGCTAAAGCATGATTTGCAACCAGAAAAGATGTTGAAGTTTGCTGAGAGACTCACACAAAGTCAGGGATATTGAACAAAGCTGGAGGTATTGGTCCGGAGAACAAATTGTTCTCTATATGTCTGAACACCATGAACATGTTTAAAGTCATACATGAGATTTAGGAGAAGCAAACGATAAACTCCAGTAACCCAAGCAATAAACAAAATATGACAATGCTAAATATAAACTGAAACTGAAGTTAACTTTCCCATTACCATTCATTTAGCAATACTCAATGTGTATCATACTTATACTTGTGCATGCCAGTTAAGATGTTTTGCAAGTTAGATTTTACCCACATACATGCTGCAAGGTCACATTCTACAACACAAACACAATTTGTGCACTACCTACATTGAACTTGTATCCAACTAAAAAGGAGCAGTTGGTAAGATGTAGTCTGTTTCCCATGTTCTCGTCTTCCTGGAAAATTCTAGATAACAAGTTTATTTATTTCCATAGTTATTGGGATCTCCGAACTTAGAGGTGATCCTGGTGATCCACGCTCCTAGAGATGGATCTTGGGTTAATCTCGCTCCCACATGGGGGGAACACGATCCCAATCCATTAGGCATCGATGGTTATAAACCACACTCATGTTATATTGAACTTTTATAAGGAAACAAGTCTGGAATGCACTTACATCAAAAAAAAGAAAGTAATAATTGAAAAATCATATTCCAATATTTTTGGAAGAAGAAATAGATGCTCTCACTTGATGGTTGTCAAGACCTTTAGAATATATCATGCAATCCCAAAATGTTGAGATCCCTAAAATTCAGCGATCCTGGCAATAGGGAACTTCTAGCCTATCATGATCCCATGCTCCTGATCCTGTTCCTGTTCTCCCTCCCAATCCCGATCCCAACAACTATGTTTCTTTTCCTTTTATCTTGAAAAGGCAAATAAGATTTCAATTAAAAACCAAGTAAATAGCAATTTAAATAAAGTCCACCTTGTATATCCAAAAGGAAGGTATTCCATGTCATCTTCCCTGTCATAGACAACCCCAAGTTATACAGACCCACCCATGTAAGATTTTATTTTATTTTTTTCCCAAGGAGAAATCTCCTATTCAATATTCCTTTCATCATTTATCGTACCAACATTACATTGGATCATTCAATACATCAGCTACGATCACAAAAGATCCATTAACTTTTTGAAACATCTACTACTATGCATGAAGTCATATTCAGGCCTTCCCAAATTAAGTTCATCACCACTAAAATATGTCCTCCTAACTAACCATGCTAAGAAAGACAGACAAGGCCAGTCCCCTGCAACCCTTGCAAACCAGAATCCAGGTAAAATGAGATGAAAAGCCTGAAAAGTACAGACATTATACCTATTCATAAAAGGAAAGTTTCTCAAATCAACCAATCTGTCACGCCCCTTTCAAGACTGCACTAGTCTGACCATGTAGCACAATGTAAACCCAATCTGTAACCATCAAGCTCTATTGCACCATCTCTTCCTACCAAAAATCCCCACATTAGGTACTTCAGGGGCACCATGTTACTCTGAGTCACCTCCGTTCTTCAAAAAGATTTATTTGCCTCACACTGGTCCATTGAACTCTCATCATCCTAATGGCCAGATGGACCCTGTAAGTGGTCCTACATTCCCAGCATTGATTGTGCATCAATGTACTAGTCAAAGGCATCCATTTGCAAGAGATCAAGGGCATATATGCGATCATGCAAATACATTGATGCAATTTAGTTTTTCACATAATTTTAATCGCACATTTAAGTAGTTTAGTCAAAGTTACATACATTATTTCCTAAGGAGCAATAGGTCAATCAATGGGCCTTATTGTTTCTGGGGAATGACCCTGTGTATTTTAAATACAATCTTATGGTGTACAAGAGTATTTTTACCCATTCTCTTATAAATGCCTTTTTACCCCTTTCCTCTCTCTTGTATTGTGAATTATTTCTGAATAAAGGGAAACCTCTCCTCTTTCCCTACCTGTACAAGAAACTCATTTTATTAAGTGAGAGAGAAATTCCCCCGGGGATGAAGGAATTCGAAAGACAACATGGATCAGGGAGAGGGGAAATTGGACAGCTCAATTGATCAAAAGCTTGGATGCCCCTCTCTGTTATAGCCATTTCCGTACATTCATACATACTCTAGTGATAGAGGAATACAACACCCATTCTTTTATAAAATGCCTTACCCCTTTCCTCTCACTTGTATGGTGAATTAATTCTGGATAAAGGAAAACCTCTCGTCTTTCCCTACCTGTAAAAGAAACCCACAACCCCTCTCTTCGTCTCTTTCTCTTTAGTGTCAATCGCCATAGCTCTCTCTCACTTCCCCCATCTACCTCTCTCTCTCTCTGTCTCTCTCTCTCTCTACAAAGCCAGATTCAAAAACCCTTTCTTCTCTCCCTCAAAATCTGCCTCTTAAAAACAGAGCTTCACGAGCCGTTAAACAAAAATTCCCACAAACACCTCTCTTCTTCTCTCAGAATGTCTAAAGCTCTCTCATTCTTCTCCTGTGAACCTCTCTCTCTCTCTCTCTCTCTCTCTCTCTCTCTCTCTCTTCATCATCCAAGGATCAAACATACTCAAGGGAGACAAATAATCTCAAAGGATGGGATAAACAGAACTGAGCAGTCATTAGTATAAGTTTGACTGATATTTGCCTTGGAACAGATATTGATCAAGTCAAAAATACATAAGACAACGTGAAACCATTCTTCAGACATCATAATTGAAGGATGATAGTGTCAGGAATCGACACCCATGGTCTAATATACTCTGACAGCCCTAACAGCATGTCAACGGTCATATTCTAACGACGATCAATATCAAGGACTACCAAATGATCTCAAATTGAGACCAAACTTTGGGACCTATATTCCTAGGTCTCACATGCCTCCCTACCAAATTTGGGGAAGTTTGCATAAGATTTTATTATCTTTTGAAGACCATCATTTGTTAAGAAGGGCTCTGGCAACCGATCTATGTGCAACCCCATTAAATGATATCAGAATAGGGTGGAACTTGCATATGTACATAATAAGGCTTTTATGCCTCTTATCCAAATTCCATGCAATTTTGACTTCATTTAATACATTTCCAAACTCACCCGTCGCCAAGATATGGCTTGACTACCTGTCCCTTCACGATATTAGGGATTGACCTGAAACTTCCAATACAACATATATAAGACATGATAAGCCTCTTCCTAGATATTTGGCTCATTTAGAGATGATTTGACCCCTTATTTATACATAAAGATAGCTAAGGCTTATATCCACCAGCAGCCAGATACATCTTCACCAGATGAATCCTAACCACTAAAATTAACATTTCTACCCATATATAGGGAGTTTTCTCTTGAGACTGAAAAAGATGGATTCCTCACTTTAGCACCCCATCAACCATGGGAATGCGGTCTCCCATGGAGTTCCCACATAAAAGCAGTTGGATATGAAACATGAGCTTCAAAACTGTCAAACAATTTGACCACCGGTCTGAGATATCTCCCACTGCACATGGAGTTTTCTCACCAAATTTTGTGGGGGTATTCCTCATAAACTCCTGTACAAGAATATCAAACTTTCAAGGTCTATAACTCCCTGTGATGAAAGCAGTTGGGCCTGCAATTATCTGATTTGAAGTGACGACTGCTGGATTCATCTTCAGTCCTCTATCAAAATGCAAAATTTCAAGTCAAAGAGATTCAGCAAGAGAAAGTGGCGTCATTTGGAAGCAGGTGTGCTAATTTGCATACTGGTTTTACTGCCGGTGACCACAGAAAGTAGCAAATAGTATGACATGAGTTGGTTTCATTTCAAATTCAAATTGAGGTTATCCACAACAACTTGAAGCAAAATCGAGTCGAATATCATTACAACACGAGTTGGTTTCATTTCAAATTCAAATTGAGGTTATCATTCTAATTAGAATCAATTCTTACAATGACCTGAGATTGGTTTAGGTCTAAATTCAAATTAAGCTCATCCTCTCATGACATTTTGAGAAAGAGGTTGTTTCAACCCACAGATACTGGATAAGCACAAAACATATCCAACTTTATCATCAAGAAACTGCTATAAATACCCCATTAAATGAGCGAGAAAGCGGACTGATCCTGCAAGCATCACAAAGAGAATGACATCCCACCATTTTGAGATATTCTTTCCATGCTCTAAGTAAGACCAAGAGCATATGATATTGCTCAGAAACCTTGTGGGTGATTAGTAATCTGAAGAGAAAAGAAAATACACCTGACGTCGAGACTCATTTGATGCCCAGGTAAAAAAAAAGTGAACTGGACTGCATCCTTGCATTCTATCCAGGTATAAGAATGTCATATTCGATTGGTGCTTATCTTATCCACTTCTTTGTGTTATTTCTTTTAGATCTATAGTATGCTTCAAGCCCCTATCAAGGGTGTTCAAATTTGTATATTGAACTCATTAATGTATACAAAAACCCTTTTCCCACTATATAAATCTAGGGTGAATTTCTTCCCTCTTTGTGTTAGTTTATATGGTTCCTTTATCATAGTTGTAGTCATAATCATATTCACTGACAAATCTGGGGCAAACAACTTGGTGTGAAAAGAGAAGCTGAGATTGAGTCTTGTGGCATGGAAAATTCTGCAATGGAGTGAGATTTGAGAAGAGATAAGATGAGAAAGAGTCTTGAGGGATGGAATTTGATATTCAAAACCCACTTCTTTATCCACACAGTTAATTACTTCATCCAAGGTAGCAGAAGATACATTCGCAACTCTATTTCTCTGAATTTTACATTACCTCTATTTGTGCATGAAGGACGATTTCCTCATCTGAGTTTGTGTTCCACAGGGAAGAACTATTGAGCAGAATTTTGATGCCATAATGTTGGGTGGGGTCCAAGGAGTTCATGTTTGGAAAAATTTAGAGAGAGAGAGAGAGGAAGAGCACGTGCATATTAGAAAAAGAGGAGAGTGAGGTGAAAACCAATGAAAATGGCCACAAAGGAGAGTGGAGAATAGCAGAGAGAGACAGAGAGGGAAACAAAGAGAGAGAGAGAGAGAGAGAGGGAAGGTTAATGGGGAAGAGATCTAAAGGGTA